GTACATACGGATGCCAAATGTGGAGCATGATTTGCTTACCCTTCCAAAACACCCGAGATAACCCCCTGTTTTTGGTGGGGTTCGTGTTGCTCAGTCTTTAATTTTTTATGTTGTGGTTTGTGTATTGTTGTTTGTCTTGGCCTTTTATTTTCTTTTTAGCAATGGCGTTGTCAGTTTATATGTTGACTGTTTGAATATCCCTTTAGTGTCTGTCGTCTCTCTTTGTCTATTTATACAATATAAGGTCAATGTCAGAAAAATATAATCTTTTTTGTATGAGGCTGAAAAACTGGGGAAGGGCGAGGTTTTAACTAACCCTTCCTCAGTTTTGTGCCGAATACAAAAAAGTTTATATTTTTCTGTCATTGACCTAATATTACCGTTTTTATACTGCAAATTAAATTAATACATTGATAGCTATTTAAATTGTAACACAAATTTCAAACTTATTTTCATCCCTTAATGAACTCACGAATTTTGAAAAAGTGATCCATGATGAAATTGACATTGCACAAAATAAAGCTTTGTTACTATATTTAGGAAATATACAAAACTAGTTGCAGTATAAATAGAATTAAGTAGGATGTTTGTGATCACGAAAATTTTGTTTAACCGCCACCATATTAACATTATGCCTATACAAAACTAGGCTGCCTGCATGCTTGACCATGTGTGACAGTCTGTGTCAGTGAAAAACTGTGTCTAATTTGGCCATAGGTACTTGTGGACAGGACAATTTTTTTTAGCTCTCCCCTTTTTTTTTCTCCATAATCCGTAATTTTTGGTTTTTTTATTACTTTCAATTATTTTTGCGTTTTTCTGTATTACATGTATATGAACATAAATATACTAGAAATTCCAAGTGTTTACTATCAACAGCGGTCACTGATATATTCATATAATACAGAAATACGCGAAAATAATTAAATAAAAAAATAAAAAAAATACGGATTTTGGAAAAAAGGGGGAGGGCTAAATAAATTGTCCTTTCCACAAGTATCTATAAATTTGGCAAGCTTTTTGAAATTTAGTAACAAATATCCGATATTGCTAAAAAGGATATTATATCCCCGATCGGTACTGATATACATTGCAGTTCAGAAACTGGCTCTGAATATTTTGACCTAATATATCATATTATGGAAAGGGGGGTTTGTGCCGAGTAAAACTTGTTTCTCTAATTCTTACCAGATTTATACTTTCCCGACCGGTTGATATTTTGTTTTCATAATCAACATGTGCTTCGTTTGATATTAGTTCTATATTTGTCAAAATTCAATTATGACGTCAAATTGTCTTGCTGTCCTGCTGTGTCGCCTTGAAAATGTTTTTAACTTATTTCTGTAGCATTCTATATTGACATGTATCAGAATTCACTTTAGTCCACATTGATAACTAAGTACAAATAGGAGTCCTTATATATAGGTATATATGTACTGTATATAATATATATATTGTATGTAGTCAATTATCATTGAAGCAAATTTGTTTACTTAAACATTAAATATTTCAAGCAAAACAAAAATTTGATTACCAGATGAATTTGCCAAAGGTTATGAGGAATAGCCCTTTTTACATGTATCTTGATATCTTATCAGAAATAATTGTTCAAGTGAATATTAGAGCATTTGCATTATTCACGTATTTGCTGGCGTATCCGTATCGACGTATCGTATAACACGTATACGAGGAAAGGATAAATTAAGTCAAGTTGTTCCCGATGAAGATATTTTACAAAGCATTTAGTTTTAATTCAGATCGGGGCTAAATCATTATTTTATACAAATCTTCCCGATACGTATACGTCGATCCGTTCACGTATCCTGATACGTGAATATTGCAAATGCTCTAGTTATAAGTTGTCATTTTGTTGCCATAATAATAGAGGTCGGACAATTTAAAACGTATCCAAAGTATCAGATACGTTGACGTATACGCATCTGGAGGAATTTGCTCAAATAGTTACCGGCAGTATTACTCAATGTATCATTTTTAAAGAATAACGGGGATCAAACTGTGTGGCACTGATTCATTTTTATTTGTTTATTTCTGAATGCCTCACTTCAACTTAATATACATATAACTTTTTTATATTTAGCATTGAAACAACAAAAGGGTACATAATCCCCAAGTCTATGTTGCATATCAAAGATCTTTATTTCATGGGGACCTAAAACAATTAAAACCATTTCTTTTCTAAATTGGCGATGATGTTGTTTTACGAAAAAAAGGGGTCTACCACTGAAGGGTAGTACGACATATGACATTGATCCCCTTTATTCTTCAAAAATAGTACACCGAGGAATATATTCAGGATTACTCGTAGACATTCTTAACGTTTTTTTCTTTTTGGCTAGTTGATCTATTATAAATCATGATAAGTTTATCTATACTGATTGTGTACTATGTACATATATATGGATATCTATTTTTGACTGTTTGTTTGTTATCTATTATATCAACCACACGTGCATTATAATACATTAGATATAGGTTCTTTCTCTACATATCACTTTAAGAACTTAAATTGTTCTCATTATGTTTTTTTTTATCTCATTGTTTGTATTGTATAGTCAATGTGAAAATTATTGATGTTGTAATGTTTAAGCCCTTTGGGGCCCATAATTGGAAATAGAAATCTTCTTCTTCTATTGGATTGAGATGGATATTATTGTATATTCCCCTAGATGCGTATACGTCAACGTATCAGATACTTTGGATACGTTTTAAATTGACAGACCTCTATATAACAAAGAGCTCTGGACCAATGGAATTGTAGGATTCGAGGTCTCTAAACTGTAAAGAATGAATGCAAATCGTGTTCTTAGTAAAGGATTGTACTATAATTGTTTATACCTACTAACAGTTAGAGCTCCAAAAGTAGGCGTGCATAACTACAATGGGCGTGTCTAAAAACCTATCATCTGTAGTTACCGCCTTTGGGTGATTAACTATAAGTTTTTTTTCACAGTTAGTTATAAGTTACTACGACCCAACATCATTTATCAACTTGAAGGGATTAAATTTTTTGATTGAAATTGATTTAAATATAATAGTTAAAAAACAAAAAAGCAAAATAAGTTGCATTGAATTTTACTGGTGCAGTAAAAATTGGTATCGTTAAAGTTACAATTTGAATATTAATAAGTTCAAAATTAAGATAAAGAATAAACATAATCAATGCAATGCGAAAGGAAAGAAAGAATAAAGACCATTAAACGAAGCATAACTTAAATTTTAAAGCCAGACCATTACAAAACTTCAGATTACTGGATCCGCAGTTTTTAAGATTATAGTACATATATGGGGGTTAAATCAACCTTTGAGTTTCATATAAAGACATTTAAAAATTTGACCTTACTTATTAATGAAAACGTTTTTCTCGGAATCAAATATTGGCTGTGGAATAAATTTTAGTTGTAAGTAAAATTTAGAATTTATTGATTTGAACTGTAAATAAACGTAAAAGATACTTCATAACTGCATGATATAATACATGATTTACATTCATACTAACAATTAGGAAACTTAAACAGTTCCTACCATTTCATCGTACTCGTTGTGTCATCTAATGCCTAAAACACAGCCATAAACTTTCCCATATTAGAGGTCGGTCAATTTAAAACGTATCTAATCATATCAGTTGCGTTTACGTATACGTATCTGGGGACATACTAAAATAATATGTCGTACTATTCTTGTGTAGGAGCTGCGCTAATGAGTGACAGTGTGTAACACATATGAATGTTTAAGTTTAATGATCGCGCGTTTAGAAAATAACAGAATCGAGTTCACCTTATTTTGAGCCACACTGAATGTGGAAGAAGTTTTAGGTTTCTGACACCTTTTATTTGTTGTAATGTGTATGTTCTTATGATTATCAGTATGTTGCCCTAAGACCTGGAGCGAAAACGTAAACAGTTGAGCTGCATGGAATGGAACACCCATTGACATGAGAGGGTGTGAGGGTGTGGATGGGGTTTACAGAATTGAGAATATTGGGCAAAGAATATAAAGAAAAGAGAAAATTGGACCAAAAAATAAAAATAGAGAATAATGTTCTGCTAAAATATAAAGAATAGAGTATAATGGGCAAAAAATATAAAGAATGGAGAAAAATAGCTCAAAAAAATAAAGAATACAGAAATGAAGGACCCAACATCCGGACCCTCATATAAAAGCCCGTTTACTTTGCAGTATTGATAATTGTATACCCATGGCCAGTCATGCTTTGGATGTCTTTTTCTGTGCTGTATTTTGGGATTTTTTTTTACTGTCTTCGTGTCATTACCCCCATATCAGTTCTTATAAAAATAAGAAGATGAAGTATGGTTGCCAATAAGACAACTCTCCACCATAGACCAAATGACATTGAAGTTAACAACTATAGGTAACTGTTCGGCCTTCAACAATGAGCAAAACCCATACCGCATTTTGTTCACAAGCCTATGTCAGTCAGTGATAGAACCCCCCTTTTAGCAAAACGCAAGCATTGACAAGAAGAAAAATTTGTTAAATGTTTATGGTTCCCATCAAATAAAGATTGTTGACACGCAACATAGACTTTTAACTCGGGGTCAATTAAATGTTGTTTTTGGTTTATTTCGAGATTATATACGTCAACGTAATCTGATTTGAGTGGATACGTTTTAAAATGACTGACCTCTATTTTTGAACTTTGAAAATGTTCCTTGCAGGAAAACTAGATCGAAATGATATCATATCAACTTCATCTTTATAATTCCATCATGTTTTCTCCTGGGCAGAAATAAAATGTAACGTTACAGGCGTTAAATGGAACATTATTTTATTTCAAGTCCCATCATGTCTCAACGTAAATTTATGTCATCAGTTTTTCCCGATGGGAATTTTAATGAACCTGAAAATATTTTAAAATTTAGTTCGAATAGTTCATGTTATATGAAAATAATTTTAAAACCATTTAGAGAGAAATATGAAGTATAGATTTGATATGTATCTTATATTTGATGGAATGTTGTTGATTTTATCAATTTTTTGCGCTGTTTCAGTTAGCACCCACGTACTACTGACCAGAGTATAAAATCCGCGCAACACGAAATTAAGTCAGAACTTCTTGTGTCAAAATGTCGCATCTTTTGAAAGCCGTATTCTTGGTCAACTTGTTTTTTCATCTGACAATTGCTCATTCGATTTACGACAATACAAATGACAAGTTGGCTGATATTCTAAGAGTTGTTGGTGATGGTAAAAGTGAATCTGAAACGGAAGAGCCAGAAGAGCCAGAAGAGCTAGCCCTCCGATCGGAACTTTCTCCTCCACAAATAGTAAGTTTCTTTTAACGTTTAGAAATACTATTTACTGTTTGTTAGCTAGGCAAAACAAAAAGATGTTTTTTTGCCTTATGTCATGATATTGAGACCTCTAGCAATTTGTGACTGTTTCCTACCAAATGTGCAAATCCAACTGTCACGTGTTCATTTTGATGCATACACATATGGTATGTACAAGGTAGACATATTAATCTTATTTTGGCCTGATTGAACATCGTAGTAAAAGATTGTTAACATACATGTACCATGCCATTGCATTGGTGTTTAAAATCGAGTATGTGTTGTCGATCAGAGTCGATGTTAGAGCTTGAAGTCCAGTTAGGTTGTCCTGTTAGATCCGAGGTAATATTCGGGTTACCCAGACGACATTTTTATGCTATTTCGACACTGATTGACAGACATAAGGGTCGATCCACGTGAAATCATTCTCAACAGATGAACTCTTCATTACTCGCAGACAGATGACCTCTAGAAACGTTTGGTTTATTTGTGTCGAAGGGTTCCTGTCTCATTGTTGAAGTTTACCCAAAATTTACCGGCAAATGAGTCATGGTCCTCTTTAAAGTGTTGTAAACAAAATATTTATCCTAAATGTCGACAATGTATACTCAACAAATAAAGTTAAGGGCCAGTTTTATTTGAAATAATGCTATAACATTTTTACCAAAGACTACTGTCAAAATTTTTGCGCATTAAAATACGATACATGACAACAATTTTATGATCCACTTAAAAGGGCATTATGTTTTTCGGTCTGTGCGTCCGTCCGTCCGTCCGTTCGTTCGTCTGTCCCGCTTCAGGTTAAAGTTTTTGGTCAAGGTAGTGTAGTTTTTGATGAAGTCGAAGTCCAATCAACTTGAAAGTTAGTACACATGTTCCCTATGATATGATCTTTCTAATTGTAATGCCAAATCATAGTTTTGACCCCAATTTCACGGTCCACTGAACATAGAAAATGATAATGCGAGTGGGACATCCGTGTACTATGGACACATTCTTGTTCTTCAATGATATGTCAACACTACTAGTATCTCAATTCTTAAATTTCAGTTTTCAAGTTTTAAAAAATAATATTTTCCAACACATCCTTAATTCTGACATTTTGACTACCACTGCAAGGAGATTTTGTAGAATATAAAGATGAAATAGCACTTTATACATTTTTTTCGTCCAAAGCGCCTTCATCAGGAGCGCATACATTTGAAAACCTAGGATGTACAATTAACTGAACTCAATAAACGAACAAAATGGACTCAGTACAAATAATCAAATTCGTCTAAGGTCATACTTGCGTAATGGAGCTGGAACCTTAGTTTCTTAATAATAAGTCAATTTATCAACGAAGAATTTAAGAAAAGTATTATATAAATCAAGTCATATATGTCAGTGATGATAACCTCGGGGACTAAATAGTCCACCAGCAGTGGTATAAAAAAAATAACAGAATAATTATAGTTTTTTTTAAATTGGAAAAAAAACGATTTTTGAAAATTAGACAGTCATGTTTTAAATTTGCACATTGTGGGATTGCAATTTTGTGTTTAAACAAGAACAGAAAATTATTTATAAAAGGCCATGGTTAGCGGTGAAGCAACAAGTACAAATTTGCAAGTCCCGCTGGTGGATCGATCCCACAACCTCTCGCGCTAGAGGAAAGCACGGTACCACGTGATAAACGATGTCGTCTGGTGTCATTTAAGTTTTTATTGAACTAGAACACACCTGCGACATTGCGGGTCCGTGACTGTATTAAGGTACCTACGCCTTATTTTAGCCAGGATTTTTAGTATTCGTATTGTCATGTGATAAGGTGCACAGTTTTCTCTGCTTTCATAATATTTCTGTTTGAACCCATTCTGGTTTATTTATTACAGTTCTCATCTGTATATAAAACTATTAAAATTTTAGCACCCCTTCACACTATGTAAACATCCTTGTAAATCTATACTATTAAATGAGAAGACATCATTTTGTGTGTCGCTTCTCTTCCTTCCACAATAAATTAATCATCGTGCCGCTGTCATCCTCGCTTATGATTATTTAGTTTGGGTTATTTTGGGAGGAAAACGAAAATATTGGATATTGTTTCCGTCATCGGACGGACTTTTAAGTCATAGTCAACACTTCCGTTTAGGACTGTTTAAAGTTACACACAATTTTCATAAGTCTAGTTCTTGGGGACAGGACAATTATTTTCGCGTTTATTCTGTATACTATGATCATACATATACTATAAATAAAGTGTATTTGCTATTTACTATCAATTCCAAGTTTACTATCTGATATATTATATAGAGAGTCTCAGATATATATCAGTGACCGCCGTGGATAGTAAACTTGGAATTGATAGAAAATAGCAAATACTCTTTATCTATAGTATATGTATGTTCATAGTATACAGAAAAACGCGAAAATAATCGCAATTAACAGAAGACAAAAAATAACGTACTTTGGAAAAAAGGGGGAGGGCTAAAAAAATTGTCCTGTCCCCAAGTACCTATGACTTTTGATACCTTACCTGAAATTCTCCAGTCATAAAATGTTTTACAAAAATTCATCCTACAACAGTTTACATACTTTCAACCACAATCTAAATGCCCGCGATTTCGCGGGTGTGTTCTAGTATTTGTTAAGTGTTAAACCTATATCCCAAGTGGAAGTGCTCCGATATATAACGGAGGATCATGCATGTACAGAACAGAACTACAACTGGAAACTACATGTGACATATACTGTTGGTATCGGTATCCGATTCGACCCGGTAATATTAAGGTGGTATGGGAGTATAAAATAAAAATGATAGAATTTGTTCATACTTTGACAAAAAGGAGTATATATTGTGATATGTTCAAAAATATAATAAAATGATAGGTCACCGAGCATTTTCTCAAGCTACAGGTTGTGACAAAATGACACATTTTGTATGGATTATACAGGAAAAAACATCATTATGTGTTTAGAAGCTAAACTAAATTATAGAATTGTAAAATAAAATACGAGAAGATAGCTTTTAGAAAATGCTTTGAGAATATCAAAAGAAAACATAGGGTCACCGTACGTTTTTTCCAGCTAAAATATAAAATAGCAAAATTTCATGTAGGTTCCTTCAGAAAATGCACTATTTCAGAGTAACCTCCCCTTAAAATGCAAATTTAAAAACATTAACAATCAATCAAAAATAATCTACACTTGTAAAAATATTAATATTTTTAAGTTAAATAAACATCTTATAAATTTGTTCTTTTAACTGAAAATTCACATTAGTTATCTGCATTCCTGCATCAAATTTTGCTAACTTGATTGAAAATCTGGACCTTAGGTTCTCTGTTATTTAAATACTACCTTAATTATGTGGAAAACATAAAGTCAGGGAATGCTAAAATTTTTAATCAACACCAATGTCCTAAAAAAGTTATATACAAAGTTGAATTCTTGATGTTGGACTTCCTTATCTTAGTAGTATCAGAGATATATAATATTAGTAGTATCAGAGACATATTGTATTATATGTCTCTGGTAGTATAGATACTACTACGCCCCCCTCCCCTTCTACTTCCTCCGCATTGGTTGTACCGGTAACCGTGTGACATGATGCAGAACGGCTTTTGAAATCATTTTTCTTTTTATTTAAGGAAAGAATCTATGATAGTGAAACAACTGATAAACGCCGACTGGTACATAATGGAGCTGCTGTTATAAAGCGAGGTAGTGGTCTTACCGAGGAACAAAAGCAAGAATATGTAGATGCACACAATAACTATCGTTCCGCCGTTGATCCACCATCTGTGAACATGAGAAAAATGGTGAGTTATCTTTCTTTATCGTATAGCTTAATTTATGAGGGTTTTGTTGTGGTTTACATAAAAGAAGTAATGAAATGGAGAAAAATAGGCAAAAAATAAACAAACTGAGAATATTGGAGAGTTGAAAAAGAAAAAAATAACTGTGGAAAAAGAAATAAAACATAGGAGCAATGTCTTGAAACGTTAAGGAATATAGAATTCAAGACCTCAATCCAAATCCGCTTTTATGCATAACAATTCAAAACTATGACAAAATGGTGGTCATGATAGGAACACAGTGCGAACCCTTTTCTTGACTAGGGCTTCGGAGGGTAGGAATACAAAGAAAAGTAAAATCTGACTGTTTTTATAATTTCTTGCAAATATTTAGGGAGCTTATCCCAAAATGACGATATAAAGCCCTAAATCCTAGGTTCCGAAGATTCAATTCCCGTTCTATTTTAGTCATAATTTTCAATGTGTAGCTGAAAAATTCGAATTTTCGCTTAATAAACGATCAGACCTTAGTCTTTTGCCAAAAAAAAATTTGTTACTAAAGATTATAAAGCAATCTAACAAAATGAATATCTGAATCTTCTATTAAAAAATAACATGGATAAATAAAATAAAAAAGAGGTGTTTTTGATCACCTGCTTTTTTTCGAAACTCCACAACAGGATATAAGATGTGTTTACCTTATTTTATCTGGATTTATACTTTTTCAATATCAATTTTCTGTCGTCCAGTTATATTATTTTCAAAACGTGCTTTGTTGTCTCTTTCTTTTTCAATTGTATTTGATACTTGGTATAGGTATTTTCTGTAATCATTTGCTTGTTTTATCTAAGTGTTTGGGGTTTTATTTTTTGTTCCCTTTTTTATTAGTTTATAAAATTGAGAATGGAAATGGGGAATGTTTCAAATAGACAAACAACAACCCAACCAAAGAGCATGAAACAGCACAAGGCCACCAATGGGTCTTCAACACAACGAGAAAATCCCGCAACCGGAGGCGGGCTTCAGCTGGCCCCTAAACAAAAATGTATTGTTTTTGGTTTTCATATGTGTGTCTTTTGTTTTCTGAATTTCTGCTGTATCCTCTTTTCATTTCAAATATCAAATATATGGTGTATGAACTCATTGCATATATATTTTAGAAATGGGATGATGGTTTAGCGGCTATTGCCCAGAGCTGGGCCGAACAGTGTAAATGGTCACACAATGGTGGTCGCTCGAACATCGATGAATTTAATTACGTTGGCGAAAACAAATACATCAATACAGGTATGTAATCTTCTATCAAAATTTGAAGCCATCAAAACTTTTTTTTATTAACACTAAACAAGAAAAAAAAGAATAAGAGATGAATTTGTCAAAATGAAAATTAAAACTTTCATGTTTTATGCCTACTTTATAAGGTACTCTCAAATCCTAAAATGTGAAAGCCAAGGATGTATGAATACTTGAATAAGTGAAGAGCTATATGGCTAAAAGGGACTTAAAAAGAGTAGTCACACTTTGCCTGAGGGGTTGGAATCTTAGTTTCTTAATAATATCTTTATTTGCCAACGGATTATTTATGAAAAACATGCTAGTTCCATGGCACTGACTACTCAGCTGATTATGCCCTCGGGACTAACATGGTAACGACCAGTAAATGAAAATAACAGCGAGTGACTTTTTAAATTTCGTGCATACGATGCGCCTTTTTTTGTGTATAAATTTACCTTCATCAGGAATGCTCCAACACAAAACAAGTGTAAGCAAAAGGTGACATCATAAGATGATAGTAGGACAGAAAGTCAGCAGACAAAAAGTCACGGACAAGAAGTCACAGGACATAAAGTCACGAACAAGAAGTCACAGGACATAAAGTCACGGACAAGAAGTTACAGGACAAAAAGTCACGATTCAGTTTTGGGATTATTTTTCTGTGAATAAAAACACACTTATTTTTAAAAACTTTTTTGTATTTTTCTTGAAATGTAAACGAAATGTATTCTAAAACAATCAATAATGGTAAAATAATTGTTAAGAAAATAATTTGTCAAAGTGGCTTGTTACTTATAAATGGATTCATGGTGTCAAGAAATATATTCTTTGCATGCTTAAAATTTGATAAATCTTCATTTATCAAGGCTTATGAACAATTCCCTAAACAGTAAAATGTATCGATGTAATAAAAAGAAATTATTTCAAAAACTTTCTCATATATATTCAAACAATCATAAACTAATCATTTGTGAATTTTTGTCCTGTGACATTTTGTCCTGTGACTTATTGTCCTGAGTCGATTTGTCCTATCAATTTTGTTACCTAATCATATAATGAGCCATCTGACAAAAAGGGACCAAAATAAAATTGCCTAATTCATCTAAGGTCGACTTTGTCTGAGGGAGTTGAAAACTTATTTTCTTAAGAATAGCTTGACGGAGAATTTTCGAAAAACATGTCAGTACCGGGGCATTGAGACGGGGGGAAAGGAGTGACATTAAGGAAATTTGGTGTTGATAGAAAATCTAAGATAGTTATGGTAAGTTCACGTTAAAGATATATAGGAAATATTTGTCAGTGGACGCAACAATCAATTAAGTTATTTTTCTTTTGCATACAGCTAATAATTATATGATAGCAAGATCAGTGGAATATTGGAATCTGGAGAAAGACAAATACGACTACGATACTCAAAGTTGTAGTGGTGGAATATGCACACACTATACACAGGTACATTGTAATTATAAGTTAAATCAATGGAATATGCACACACACTATAGATCACTATACACTGGTAAATATTAATCAAATTAATGGAACAAGCACACACACTATACACAGGTAATTATAGATTAAATCAATGGAATATGCACACACTATATACACAGTTAATTATAAATTATATCAATGGAATGTACACACACTATACACAGTTAATTATAAATTAAATCGAGGAATATGCGTCCATAATACACAGTTAATCATAAATTAAATTAAATCAATAGAATATGCACACACTATACACAGGTACATTGTAATTATAAGTTAAATCATTGGAATATGCACACACTATACACAGTTAATTATAAATTAAATCGAGGAATATGCGTCCATAATACACAGTTAATTATCAATTAAATCAATAGAATATGCACCCACTATACACAGTTAATTATAAATTAAATCGAGGAAGATGCGTCCATAATACACAGTTCATTATCAATTAAATCAATAGAATATGCACCCACTATACACAGTTAATTATAAATTAAATGAACGCAATCAATGGAATATGCACCCACTATACACAGTTAATTATAAATGAAATCAATGGAATATGCACACACTATATATACACAGTTAATTATAAATTAAACGAATGGAATAAAGTTTCTCAATTCTGTAATAATTAAGAATTTTCTTTTAAAGTTCATGACAAACAATAACTATTTCACAGTCAAAAGATACACATTTAATTCATCATTTGTTACTTATAAAAACGAAAGAAAAAATTTCCCACAATATTACTTTTTAGGAATAAAAGAAGTGGATTTGTTTCTAAAAATATGTAGCAGATCTCACAAAATAGCAAATAAAGTGTTCGTCGATTAAATTGTATTCAAACTTTTTAATAGCCTTTAAAAGAGAGATCCAGTAATATTTTTGACCATACATATTTCATTTTCTATATCACATAACCCAGAATCGCATCTTGTTTAGCGCCCCTAATAGACATTTACAGAAAGTCTCGGTACCGACTGTTGACACCGACTCCGACAGGTAAAATGAAGGGGGTCGACTCAAAATTTAAAAAAAAAGTACTAAATAATTAGCTTTTCAAGGTAAAATTTGCAAATAACAAGATTTTACACAACGATTTATTTAATCAAATAAGGTTTGTCATCTGTTTACAAATCCTGCACAAGTCTCCACAATTTGTCTGAGTTTTTGTCTTGGGTGCCTCCACAAAGTACCCATCACAAGTCTCCACAATTTGTCTGAGTTTTTGTCTTGGGTGCCTCCACAAAGTACCCATCACTTTATAATTTTGTAGGTCACCCATGGCATGTTCGATAAGAATTCTATATTCTGCAATGGTTCTATTAAATTTTCGACTCTTGCGTTTCTGGTGATCAGGTTTTCTGTTGATTTGCTGTCGTGAAAATGGCGTAATTACGGGATGCCGATTTGGATAAATTTTATTCTGGAAAATTAGCGGTGCATCGGCTCCAATCTGTCTCATCATCCTATACTGCTGCGCATCATTTTGGTGGCCTAAAAATCCTCTTTCGACATAGCAAATGCTTCCCTCGTTGTCAACTATCACTTGCGTATGTATGGCGTGGTAGTGACGATGACCGGAAAAAATAAAGTTCTTGCAGCTCAATTTGTGGCCTATATATCTCTACAGAAATGCCGTCGATTGCACCGACGACAGTAGGGAGTTTAGGCCAAATACCCCGTTTTCCTCTCCATCCGTTCACAGCAGGCCACTGCACGAACGACTCCAAGGCTCTTTGAAATATTGGAATGCAGGCATTAATTCATTTCCGTTATTTTAATAAAATTTTCCAGAAAAGGGGACCAGGTCCCTCTGGGCTCCCCTTAATTCTAATCCACATCTGTTGACTCTAACCAATCTTGGCAGAAATTTTCCTGGGTTGCCTTTTTCCTTTTTCAGAATGGCCGCCCCAGCTTTCAATTTGTTGGCACATATTTTCAAGCAATATGGTCAGCACTGATTATATGTTCCCGCTTCTCCCACACCACTTGTTAACTTAGGGAGCTATCTTTTAGTTGTTTATTTTATTTTTTTTTGGGGGGGGGGGGAGGGGGCTTAGAAGAAAACATTCGTCCTACATTTTATTTTCAACAAATATCAAGTCTGACGTTTTTTCTTACTTGTTGTTCCCTTTATTTTCGTATCTGTAAAACTATGGCATTACAGTTGCAGGAAAAAAATCATTCAAAATAACGTATTTGGCTTCATAGACATGTGTATGCGCTTGACGACATATCCGATTGAAATGTGCTGTTACGAAATCTCTGGATTCAAATTTTGATTCTTATTGTCGGTGGAGCGATGGTATGCTCCGTTTATGGACTCCTAATGAATCAAGTGCGCCGCTAAATTAGCTTTTGAGACGACCCCTGTAAGTTTTGCTGTCAGAGTCGGAGTCAACAGTCGGAACCGAGACTTTCCGTAAATCTCTATTAGGAACACAACTAGACTGAATATCGCAACATTGCTTTACTATGATAAAGTCTAATCGGTCCCAGTCCCGTCTGTTTTCATGCCCCCACCGTAGGCGACGGGGCATTATTTTTTTCCCTTGACCTTTCCGTCTTTCCGTCCGTCCCATTTTCGTAGTAAAGCTTATCGTCCTGAACATGCATAAAATATTTGCAACTGGACGTTAAGCAACCAACAGTCAACCAATCTTCTTTTATTATTAGTTATTTTTTGTATAGCTTGTTCGGGCATAGACTGGTACCCGGCCCGGGGAGTGGTATATCAAAGTTAAAGGTTACTCAGAATAATCCTTTTCATATTTCAACATACTAGGATATGATTCATTGTAAGATAAGTTTATGCATTTTTTTACTGTTTAACCTTTTTTAACGATTTTATTTGTAGTTGGTGTGGGCCGACTCTGAATACGTAGGATGTGGTATTCACTATTGTAATTCTTTTAGCGGACTTTCTGGCTGGAGCGGACATTACTATGTTTGTAACTATGGAGAAGGGTAGGTATCTGTCAAACTTAGAAACAATGGTAACATTGTCTGAAGCCCCGACTTTATCGAAGCGACATACTCACTGTTTCGCAATTTAAATGTGTGTTAATAGACTTTTTTCATATTAACGACTTTTGACTCCTGATTATATAATTTTTCAATATGTTTGTTACTCTGTGGTAGTCGGACAAGTAAGAGCAAATAATAGACGTAAATTCAAGTGTACCATCGGCGCAAATTGGGGGAAATAACTGTTTAATGTTTTCTAATCATGCGACAAAATCATCGGAAAAGAGTCAAAAATCAGGAATCCACCAGATCCAGACCCTCATAAAATAGTCATACAAGAAGACATAGGGCAAACCAATTGAAAACAATGCTGTATGATGACCGATTATGAGGGTATGGATCGGGTATCCTTCATTTCTGTATTCTATAATTGTTTTCGCTCATTATTCTTTATCTTTAAAAATAATGGCTATTCTGTATTTACTTGATAATAGTATTCTGGACATTGTTCTTTTCTGAAATCAGTATATTTTTTACCCAATTCTTTAATTTTTGCAGTTATTCTTTATATTTTAGCATCCCATTTATGTCTATTCTTTATTTTTTTGCCCATTATTCTCTATTCTTTATTTTTTTTGCCCATTATTCTCTATTCTGTAAACTCCATCCACACCATCGATTATAAAAAGTAACTTAAAACAATCTTTAAACACTTGAAATCATGGCATCTAATGCATTAACATTGGTCTATGCACATGAAATTCTATTAATTTTAAATTTACACTCAATTGAAATTATGAATTTCAATTTCACATTTATGTTTTGTTTGTTTGTGAATTTGTGCATTATCTGTTTATTTACTTTTTCTCCTACAGGGGAAATTACGCCGGTGTCAAGCCTTATAAGAAACTGGAAACCTGTGCCGCCTGTCCAAATGGTTATGCAACATGTGAAAACAACCTGTGTGTGAAAGATTAGATCCACGACAGAATGGTTTAGAAATTTTATATTGAATAAATAGATATCTTGCATTGAAAAATTGTTTGCATATTGAAAAATTGTTTGCATATTGAAAATTTGTACTCAATAGAATACTATTTTGGTGAAGAAACAGTGGGTTGGAGCATTTTTGTCTAGTTACAAAATTATCAAACACTCAAAAGTTTCCAGGTCGGACATTTTTTTCTAGTTTCACACACACACGTGCGTGAACTTTGCAAGGCATGAAACAGTAAATGTTCATTGCCATGTCCTCAAAACTCCTGGTTCTCATCAAGGAAAATAGATTAGACAATTGTACAACGAATGCCATATAAGCACAAGAGAAATAGAAATTTAAATTCATTATCGATGCAAACAATGTCAACATTTTGTTTTTCTCGTTTGAATTGTTTTACATCTATCATGTTGGGGCCTTTTATAGCTGACTATGCGATATGGGTTTTGCTTATCGTTGAAGGCCGTACGGTGACCTATAGTTGTTAATTTCTGTGTCATTTGGTCTCTTGTGGAGAGTTGTCTCACTGGCAATCATACCACATCTTCTTATTTTTACATTTCACATATGGTGACTTGCCATGGGCAGCAACACGTCGGATGCGGCTAGAGGAACCGAAACTGCTAACTTTACTGGGATTTTGAATGGGGTTGGCCATGTTAGTCTGTTCTCCTCTGTCTTGTACATGTAGTTTTTAATTGCCCCTTAGTATCTTCCTTCACTTTCACCCCTAAACAATCAAAAAACATTCCGACAATACACTTTTCGTCACGAATTTCGCGTACTATGTAGTTTATGTTCAAATGAATCAAATTAGCAATGCTTTGCCGTGACAGTATATCGTTGGCAGTCTTTTAATAACATTACAATTAAGGTCAAGTTACAGTAATCGGGCTATGTCACAGATTTTGGTAACATTTTGCATACACCTTTAGCTCGTTGCTCTATAACTGAAATCGAAAAAATAATGGATTTATCGGCATCTCTTTTATTATTATGAAATATTACTGATCGAATTCTTTCAAAATAGGGAAACATTTGTATAGAAAGCACATGTAATCGGCGAAAAAATTCCTCAAATTTGTCTTAAAATCATCAAATCTCCAATTTCAAATACATAGATTTTCTCACACTATATGTTGTTGATACATGAATTTCCGTTTTAATGATTTGAAATGATGATAATAGGGTCACCGACTTCGTTTTTACGGCATACATCATTCAAAGTGGCGGTCTAGCTGGAAAATACCACAAAACGTCGAAATAAGCGTAACGTCATCGCGTTGTAGGCCGTAAAACGTCGATTTTTTTACGTTTTTTACTACCAACTAAGTAACAGAATGCTTTTAAAATCGATCATAAACGAAGTCGGTGACCATATGATTATCTTATATCATTCAAAGGTAAATTTATATTTCCACAACATATAGTCTTTTTAAGAAAAATCTATGTATTTGAAATTGGAGGTATTAAAATAACTGGCATGACATCAATTCAAAAGAGAAAAAAGAACATGCTAAAATATCAAAAACAGAAAAACGACCAACGACAACAACTGACTTGTAGGCTACCGAATTGGGACAGTCACTCAAAGCATGTGGCGTTCAGGTTTTATCGCTATTTGTTAAAACAAGGATCGCCGTGCCATAGCTGCAGCAATAGGCCGTAGACTCCATTAGCTTGCAAAGTAAGCTATATATACTAAGCAAAGTTATTTGAAGCATGCAGTAATAAGATACTCCGACAGTATATAGTAACTAAAGCCTTGAATAATTGAAATATGTGCCGTTTGTCATAGTTTTCAGTTGTACTAAACGCGTTAACTGTTGAGGTCGGATCGTGATAATAATATCGTATATATAAAGGAACTATAAACACTTTTTAAAGTGTATAATTTTACCAACTATATCCGTGAACTGCTTTTTTCCCCTTTAAACTGTCGGGGGACTATTTTTATTTTTCTTATTTAGTAGCACTGAATTTTGTGTTAATGGCAGATGCACATGCAAATGTGGGTGTGCTTTTTGTAGTATGTGGGTTTGATTCCCACCCAGGGTAATTACAAAAAATACTGGTACCAAGGATTTGTATAGTACTATATGTATTACTATACAAATCCTTGCTGGTACCAATCATAATTCATTACGCATGTCATGTTTTCTGTATCCCAAATTGCAAGTTTTAATTAGCTAGTTACATTATATATTACATTTTGTTAGTTAGTTTTAATTAAATTATTTGGGTTTGATGTATAAATACATTTACAAGTTAACAACTTACCTAACCACATATACATGGAGTCTAGTTAGGTACAAGTACACATTCCCCATTTCCATTCTCAATTTTAATTTTACTTTTATACTTTGCCGAAGTGCTGTTTATATCTTGCGTTTTTTTCTATTATCATTTTTTCTATTATCATTTTTTCTATTATCATTTTTTTCTATTATCATTTTTTCTATTATCATTTTTTTAAGAAAACACAGTTACCACCTTATCATAAAACCTTTCAAAAATATTCACTCAAATGAAAAGAACCACAAATAAATTGCATTTTATCAAAACTTGCTATTTTCAGTACCGATCAGTTGCGATCGTGATCAACTGTTCGCAATCCAATTTGGCGGAATACGTTCAGACTACCTGACCTAAAGTTGTATGACTGAATAAAACAATAAGGTTAATATAAACGATACACCAACCTTACAACACAAGTTGTCTGAATAACTGGTTGATTATATTGACATCAAAATACATAGAAACAGAGGATTCACCAATCAAAATCAATAGGGCAATACAAAGGAGTAGGGCCACGAAGGGTTAAAAACGGCCCTGTCTCAAAAATTGACGAAATTACTGCAGAAGGATCACTTATTAATGTAGTTCATAAAATGATAACCATTAGACTTGTAACTGTGTTTATATAATTTTCCAGGGCGTCAGAAAAGACCAAGGTACAATGGTATTTTAGCCATTTGCGCGTAACTTTAAAATTGTTTTCATTAACGTTCTAGTAACTTTATAATCATTTTACCACAAGAATTTTTTTACAAAATATTTCTTGAATCTCGTCCATATATCTTGTTTTTTTTTAACTCTAATAACAGAAACTTTCTAATATTAACGTTCAAGCTGCAAAAAGCGCTTCAATTAAATTTTGTATAAGTGGCCCGAATACTCGTTTTCTGTATTGATATTCACGAAATAGAAATTGCAGAGACTATGTAAACAAACATAATTCTATAGCATAGATTAAATTAAAAGTCATAAAGGATTGTAAAAAATAAGCAATGAATGTCTTCTATTGGGCACAAAGTATTAAGATTTAAAACTGTAAAATATCTTGGCGAGCGAAGTACAGTCGTAAAAAAGTATGAGGATAGTTGATCACACCACATCATCTTATTTGTATATGGAAGGAAAACCGTGATTCACTTTAACACAGAAAAGTTTATTTTCTAGTAAAGAAGTAAAACATGAAAACACAGATAAAGATAAACATTGTGTATAGACAGTACATAACATTATATGTACTTCAATAATCATAGAACACATCATAATTGTACAAAAGTCATCAGACACCATAACCACACGTGCACTCATAAAAATCATTCTCATTCCGGAGGATTACAGGTGTCAGACCACCAATTACTCCCTCCAATTTAGAACGTATGTAAAAGTAGGCCTACTCGGATAAAAAAATAGTGCATTTGATGGCATTGTTTACTTAAACTAACCAACAAAAATGCAGAATTGAAACTGTTGGTGAAAGAGAAATATATAAAGATCATTTTGAGCTAAAATTTTCTTGTCTATGAATTGGCATTAAACATTGATGATTAATGCGCTCCATAGTATACTAATTTAAGATTTCTAGAAAACCAGGGGATATTTTTAGTGGTACCTCAGTTCGGGGGGTCTTTTCTTTCTTATAAGATTTTAAAGGTATGTTGAAAATTGGCATGTAGAAAGGTGATACCTGTACAATTCAGGATATACCTGGTTTCTATGAAGTTAAACTTAAGGTAAAATATTAGGAAGCTGTAAAAATTGCAAAGTTTGGTTGAACAGATAGGGATTTTTAATTGGTGGTCTTACACTTTTAAAGCGAAAAGCGGTGAAACAACCCCAAAATCAGAAAACAATTGATTTTTTTGTCTTAACTGATCATTTGGAATGATAGTAGCCACATTTTAATCTTTTTTTGGCAAAAAGTCACATATTGCAAATTTCGAGCCTTAAACCTGAATTTGTGCTATTTTCAATTCCCTCCCTGATTATATGCTTTCATATAAAAAAAAATGTTCTAAATTGTTATGAATTCACAGTAAGTTGTTTCTGTGGTATTAAACATTAAAACATAGGTTGTTTACCACCCAAAAAAACTTGTCGTCATGAAGATTTAATGAATTTATTTGATTTTTACCCCTTTAATATCATTGCGTCATACCATATATTTGACAGATAATATAGCCTAATGTAAACAGTGCATAAGCTCTCCTCAATCCCATTTATTGTCTCAAATGAAAGTTTTCTACCTTAAATTTTATTGACTGATAGTAAATAAAAACAATTTAATGACCATAACTGCACTTTTGATCGATTAATAGTCCCATTACCGAAACCTGGTGAAAAAAAGGGGGTCATTATTTCTTGACTCTTCAAAACCTTGGAGTTTTTACTAAACTCATTGTAAAAATAGTGGAAAGTCTTTAAAGCAGTAGAACAAACAAGAAAAAATCAACCAAACCTGATCTTGATATTGAAAGTTTATGTTCCTGTAGTCCAAAATGAAATTTTCAAGTATTTTCTATTAAAGTCATACATTACAGTCAGTTTAAATTGAGCTGTGAATATTGTAATTTAAGTCGCATTATGCTCAGATAGGATTTTGTTTACTACAAATTGACCAAGGATTAAGAATAAAGCAAATCAAAAGATTTCTGATCAACTTTTTTTGCTCTTTAGGTGTCAGACCACCAATTACTCCCTCCAATTTAGAACGTATGTAAAAGTAGGCCTACTCGGACAAAAAATTGTGC